GGCCCGGCCCGGCCCCGGGCTTCTCTGAGTGTACACTGTGGATTTCTTTGTTTGCAACCATCTGTGTTACTTGATACCTACTTGGAACATAATAAACTGAACTTAAAGGAAGCTACAGTCTGGGAGTCTCTCTCACTGGCAAGGAAGTGCCCAGCCAGGCTACCCACCAAATTGGAGCTTGGATCTGGGAGCTTTCCATTGAGAAGTTCCCCTATAGTAATCCATCAGTACTGAAGGTCAGGGACCTTGCTGAGCGATATGACACATGGCATGAGGGGATGCAGCAGGCCAATTTTCTCCTCCTTGATGCATCTATCTGGTCGTATGGCATATTGTTTTGGAGTGTTCCCCTACCCTCAGCAGCAGCTCTTTGGAGACGCAGGGTAGCTGTTGAAGGAAAACATTAAAGATCCTATGAATTTGCTGTTTGAGGAAACTTGGATCCAGCTCATAATATCTAACCTGTGTTCTTATTGATTAAAGAAAAGGTGTGTGTTATGTACAAGGAACCCCCCCCCCACACACACGCACACACTGAGGATTTGCAGTAAACACCAGAACTGTTTATTTCTGGGTTGCTGTTCATCCACAGAAGAGTCATCACCATCCTAAACAAATTTCCACTTTTGAGGAGGAGGTTCATAAAAGGAAAGGATGAAGGGGGAAATTTCCACTGCTTCAAATAATGTATGAGAAGTGCTTTCAACACTCAGGTGCTGTAGAGCAAGGGTGTCAAACATGTGGCCCGGTGGGCAGATCAGGCCCCCGGAGGGCTTCTATCTGGGCTCCTATCAGGCCCGCAGTGGAAGTGGCCGTCTTCTGCTTCTTCTTCCAGTCATGCTGCTGCTGCATCATCATAGGTTTGCAGCTTACGGATACACACCTGAACAGCATACTCAGGATTGCAACAGCACAGACATTTTGATGCAGTAATTTAGAGCAAGAGGTGTCAGTTGCAAGAGTGCTAATGTTTTAAGCATGTTTTTATTTTAAGTTTAAAAAAAACCCTTTGTGTTTGTGTCCTTTATAGTAGGTATCATTTTGGATCACAAGGGCAACAAAATGTGCTGCCCCAATGCCCGGTTTTTGTGTGATGTCTATGCATGTGGAGATGTTGCTACCAATATGGTTTTCATAAACACCCAATTAGGTTGTCTTTTACAGATTAGATTTTTCTGCAAAACTGGCAGTTGGTTTGTGTTTACAGAACCCAAAATTGCAGTTGCTGCTGGCCCTATTGTGTGGCTTTTTTATCCACATGGGGGCCTTGTGCGGCTGATTGTATAAGGATGAGTCTGAGATGCCAGGGCCATAATATCACACATGGCTTTTAGGATTTGCTTTGCTTTAATTCACTAGCATGGGAGAAGAAACTGTTTATTCTGCCTGTCCTTGGGAGAACAAGAATCATGCCAAACAAACACATACATTTAGGAGAAGGCAGTAATACACCAGCGGTATGTGCTACTTTAGAATTCCTTTCTCAAGGCTCACTTCCACACTCTGCATTCAAACTCCATGCTGAACTTCCAAGTTGTCTTTCATTGGTTGTAGTTAAGTCAACATGTATGGAAACCGGCACTTAGTCCTAAGGAATGACACATCCCATGATTTGTTTTTTGGCAGAAAGTTTCTGGCACACCACAAACTTGAGCACTCACCGTGTGCACATGACTTCATAGATGGGGCCACTTTACACATGACAAGGCATGAACCCCAGGTGTACCCCAAGTGTCTATATAGAAGGAACCTGCAGCCAATCCTAATTTTTGATGAGTAATGCACACATTTAAAGTACATGGTTTCCACACTGAAATTCTTAGATGTGCACCTGAAAAAAACCCAATGTATCACTGCTGCCATTAATGCAGATATAGTATGTGGAGAATAGGAAACATATGAATGAGATGTTATCAGGAATCCAGCCCATGTCCCTGTCTCATAACCCAAAGAGCAGGGTCTGCATTTCTTTTGGGCAGAGCTAGTTCTAAAATAGCAAGAGGTCGCAATTTAAGTTTACCGAAAGGGTCTGGGGAAGACATTTCCGCAAAATCCCTTCTAGCAGTTGCAACTTGGAAGGACAGGATAGGATCAGCATAGCTCAGGAGTTAGAGGCTGGTGGGAACCAACAGAATCAGGATGGGTCGTGGTAAGTACCTACGAGAGAGGAGGAAGATACACCATTTGTCCTCATCCCAAAACCTTCCACCTCATGGGAAAAACACTTTTTGAACCCTTGTGCCCACACACACATGCATGTGGGTGCAGCACCTGTGTCCCCAAAAGTAACAGTTAATCCCCTTCCAGATCAGTGCTTAAGATAGTCAGGATCATTTTGTTCTTGGTCAGCGTCACCCATCACACCTATCGCCTATGGCTGACCTGTGGCTGCCTGAATCTTCCTGATGAGCAGCATAGATAAAGAATGATCAAAGCAGCAATATGGACCCACTCGGTCCACGTCTGATCCAGCCAGGTTTCTTTCGGGGAGTGCTCTGCTTGTGGATGTACTTTCATCCCAGAATAAATGAACGATTAACAAATTTGTTCCTTGGACTGCAAGGAATTTGTTCCTTGGACTTGTGGGATGGGATTTGTTCCTTGGACTTGTGGGATGGGATTTGTTCCTTGGACTTGTGGGATGGGATTTGTTCCTTGGACTTGTGGGATGGGATTTGTTCCTTGGACTTGTGGGATGGGATTTGTTCCTTGGACTTGTGGGATGGGATCCGGATGGTGCAGTATAACTGGCAAAGCAGCCCCTGAGTGAAGATGGGGTGCATTTGCTCTTTCGAGGACTTGGGTTAGGGGAATCACCCGCAGCTGGCCCTGGCCTCTCCTGCTTGGAGCTGCTGAAAGGGAGAAGGGTGGTTGGAGGATGGGGGGGGGGGCGGAGAGACCAGGCGCCTTCTGTTGTTGCTCAAGAGTTTCTCCAAGTGAACATGAGAATGATCCACGGTCAAACCCAGTGATCCTTGAAAACTTTTTTTTTTTGCTTCAGAGTCAACCCCCCCCCCTTTACCGGCTATGCTAGTGGAGAAGCATGTTCCCAGGCTGCTGACTGCACAGGCCTTTGCTCTGAGCTATAGTGGGGTGGGATTAGTGAATCTCTTGCCTTAGGTCACTTAGAGAAGAAGAGATTGGATTTATACCCCGCCCTTCACTACCCGTAGGTGTCTCAGAGCGGCTTACAAACTCCTTTCCCTCCCCACAACAGACAGACACCCTGTGAGGCAGGTGGGGCTGAGAGAGCTCTTGACAGAAACTGCTCTTTTCCAAGGACAGCTCTTGTCAGAACTAGGGCTTGCCCAAGGTCATCCAGCAGGTGCAATTGGAGGAGTGGGGAATCAAACCCGGTTCTCCCCAATTAGAGTCCACGCACTTACCCACTACACCAAACTGGCTCTCTAGTAAGGCTGCTAGTAAGGCTCTAGCAGCCCCTTCCATTGCTGAATCATAACGGAGAGGTGCAGGCAGCACATTTCCCCCTACGACGTGATCCCCTCTGTGCTCCTTTGTGGTCACAGCAGAGGTTTTCCTCCCCTGCTATGCCTGCTTCTGCTGACACTAGCACTTCTGAGTGTTTAAGGGCTCCTTGAGAAACACTGAACCTGCACATGTGGAAATGCTAGCAGCCGAGGAAGCGAGTGCCGTCGTGGAAGAAAGCCTCTGCAGTGGCTGAAGAGAAGCACGAGGGGTATAGTGTCACTTTTTAAAACAAAGTTAATGCTAGAACGTCTGGGATCATGGCAATAGATTGTTACAGTGTCGATTCACAATAGTATGATATCGATTATCAATGAAATAAAACCTCAAAAAGCCTTCCAGGGCTTGGCTTGTCAAGTGGCAGACTTGTTTGCAGACGAGCTGATTGTACCATACTGCACCGTTTGGAACAAATACAGTGGAACATAAGTGTTCCCTCTGAGCTGAGTTAGTGTGGGCTGGCTCAATTTTTTTTAGCTTCCAGCTCACATGTCTTTGTCTTAGCTCAGGAAAGACGGCTCCAGAGCAGACTAATTCTCCTCTGCAGAAGTGGAGTAAAAAGACACTGGAGAAAATCTGGTACTCAACAGGTTGCAACAGGCCACGGACGGACTTTCCCCTATCTGATCGCGCAAGCAAGCTTCCGAGCCATTGGGATGTCCTGATCAGGCCATCCCGGCTTGGTGCCATTCCCCCCTCCCCGCTTCACTGTATGCGCATCATCGCATACCCATAGGGGGCCCTCGGTGCAGAGGTGCAATTCCTTGTTTATGCGCATGGGAAACAAGTGGCAAAAAACTCCCCAACTCACCCACAGTTGTGTCTGATCACACAGTGACGGACTGAGCCCGCAGCAACTAAGGGCTGTGTGATTTCGCAACTGCGGGTCAAATGCCTCCGGAGGGAATAGCCTCGCTCCCCCTCCTCTCCAAATGGCGTGCGTGACCACAACTATAATTAGGTAAACAATTTACTAGAGAGTTACAAGATATAGAAGACTTCCAGGCAATGATACAAAGCAAGTTTTGTACAGCGTTTATTGCATTGTTGCCGTGAGTGGCTGGTTGGTTGCTTCAATAAACTGAACTGATATGCTTATAGGTGAAAAACCCATCATTTGTTTTTTGTCAGCCATAACTGGACATCAAATGGAGAAGGGGTTTACTACTGTTTGGAGAACAAACCCATGACTTTAGACAATAGCACATGCCAAATGGAATCTTTTTAAAATTGTATTATCAGATCACTGCCCTGATCTATGGATATGACATGTAATCTACCTCCAGGAAATGATTAAATACATGTGTAAGAGGCATTCAGGAATGTCTGGTGAGTAGAGAATGACAATTCACAGAGAGTGAGGATAAGATAAAAAGGATGATGGCTGGGGGAAAGTGTGAATAGCTTGCTTGGCACAGTATTGTATCTTACTTTGAAGTTCTGCCACACTGGCAATACAGTGACGGTTCACTGTCTCAAAAGGTCTCACAAGATGTGGTGAGACTGGAGGAGGGTTATATACTTCCAGTGGAGGGTTTAGGGGTATGGTAAATAAAATGACATGATAGGGATAATCTCTGAAAGCCCCAGTATTCAAGACACTTCTGCATGCGCAAGTTATCAAGGGCTACATTCCCATATATAGGGTAGCCAGATGCATGGACACGTGTGGCCAGTACTTTATTGACAATAGCCATGTAGCCACGACCGCGATGCTCTGGGAGGGTATAGCCATGTGCCAGTGCACCAAAAGGATCAAGGAGACTCCAGCTGATCAGGCGTCCATTGCTGTCCAGGATGCAGCTGCTGGGGAAGGAGTGCACCAAAGTGGCCAGGTACCCACGACTGTGTTCACAGCCCCCGTAGGCCCACGTTTCATTCAGCAGGTCAACATGGGAGCTATTCAAAGTGGAGAACTTCAGGCTGGGATCTAGCCTGGAAGAAAAGAGAGGCAAAACATATATACTGTTAATGCAATGGGAGGAGAGTTAAATATCATAATGTGTACTTGTGGATCAGACTAAAAGTCCATTTAGTCCAGCCCAGTCTGTTACACCTCGGAAGCTCACAAACAGAAGACTATCCTCTGTCCCTTTCCCCCGACATCCGGTAATTAGGGATATTCTGCATGTGCCTGTGAACATTCCATTCTTAGTTCTTAAGGGGTTGAGGGGGAAAAATATTATATCTAATAATAAACGATTGGGCCCCCTGGGTGGATGATGAAAGCAAACAACAACAAACAAACAACAACAAAAACAGCCCACCCACATATAAAGTAAGGATTTTTACAAACTCAGGGCATTCCCCAGGGATGCAGAAAAAAATATTTAAAATATTGTCTTTTGGAACTTAACCAAAAGAGGGGGGAGGAGACACAAAGTGGCATCTTTGGGTCTGAATGTGCCCCAGGAGGGGTGGGGTGGGAGATAAGCAGTGTTCCCTCTAAGCTGAGTTAGTGTGAGCTAGCTCACAGTTTTTTAGCCTCCGGCTCACACATTTTTGTCTTAGCTCAGGAAAAACGGCTCCAGAGCAAACTAATTCATGCAGTAGCCAAATGGCTTGCTCACAACTTTAATGCCAGTAGCTCACAAAGTAGGATTTTTTGCTCACAAGACTCTACAGCTTAGAGGGAGCACTGGAGATAAGTCTGATCAAGACTTTGGAAAAGCCATCAAAAGGCAGACCAAAGATGGGGCTCTTTTTGTAGTAGGAACTCCTTTGCATATTAGGCGACACACACCCTAATGTAGCCAATCCTCCAAGAGCTTACAGTAGCCCCTGTAAGAAGAGCTCTGTAAGCTCTTGGAGGATTGGCTACATTAGGGGTGTGTCGCCTAATATAACCATCTTAACTACAAAGTTTCTGGGTTCCCAAAAGTTACGTTGTGTGCTGCAGTTGCACCGCAAGCCGGGTGGGGGGGGGGGGATGATGGACACTTACTGACGCGTGTGTATTTTATTTGGGTCAGGGTGCAAGTAAGTGAAGTAGGAAGACGGTGAGGTCTGCACTTGCTTAGCAGCAGCAGCATCTTGGGAGGCCTCGTATATCCCGTCTTGGTGCCCTGTAGAGAGCAGTAAGATATCCAGTCACAGAGAGAAGGGTGTGTATATCAGACCTGAAGTTAAATGTACATATTCGAGATTACTCCATGAAGACCAATTGCCCTATAATTGGGTGAGTAGCATTAAAACAACGGATTCCTCCTCCTTTCTATGGCTGCCCGTTGGGTGGCTTAACAGCACTATCCTAAGCAGAGTTTACCTCCTTCTAAGCCCGTTGTCTCTGACCTGGATGGCCCAGGCTAGCCCAGCCTCATCAGATCTTGGTTGGCCTGTGTGAGTACTTGGATAGGAGACCACCAAGGAAGTTAGGCAATTTACAGGGCTCTTTTTGTAGCAGGGACTCCTTTGCATATTAGGTGACACACCCCTAATGTAGCCAATCCTCCAAGAGTTTACAGTAGCCCCTGTAAGAGCTCTGTAAGCTCTTGGAGGATTGGTGTCAGCAAGCTGCCAATGTGTTTTCCTATTCTCTATCTATGCGCTTGTCTATTTCCTATGTATGCGCTTGTCTGCTTTCACTTTCCCATGTATGCCTGTTGATGCGCTTAATTGCCTAGTTGCAGGAACTTCCGTATCTCTCAAGGCCACAGGTGGTTGCTGGCAGGTAGTAGCTTGGGTGAGCTCATGGTACTATCCATGAGAAGCAAATATGTTATGATTACCCAGGAGCATTGCTTCCCAGGCTCAATGGTGCGCGCGGGAAGTCCCGCAATTGGGCCTCAGCTTTTCCAATTTACTATAATCTATTGGGTACCATGCTTTTGCCTCATTCTGAACACTGATCCTGTTATGCACCTATTGCTTCAATTAAAGTAAAACCTTTTTCTACAAGTGTGTACTTCGTTGATGGAATGGGAGTCTGACAATTGGCTACATTAGGGGTGTGTCGCCTAATATGCAAAGGAGTTCCCGCTACAAAAAGAGTTCTGGTTAGTGCGCAGAGGCAGGCAATGGCAAACCACCTCAGTTTGTCTCCTGCCTTGATGTCAGCGAGCTGCCATTCTCATTCCGGT